CTGACACATCATAATCATCCAACGTCCATTATTTACCTTAGGTTCACTCTTGTGTATTCTGTGGGTTTTGGCAAATGTATAATGATATACCATCATTATAATATTATACAGAGTATTTTCACTGCCCTGAAGACCCTCTGTGCTCTGCCTATTCATATCTCTGTACCACCTTGCAGTAACCTGATCTTTTTTTTGTATCAATTGTTTTGCTTTTTTCCAGAATGTTGTTTATTTGGAGTCAGGCAGTATGTCACCTTTTCAGACTGGCTTCTTTCACTTAGCAATATGCATTTAGGGTTCCCCGTGTCTTTTCATGGCTTGATAGCTCATTTCTTTTTAGAGTTGTATAATATTCCATTGTCTGGATGTATCACAGCTTATTTATCCACTCACTGATTGCAGGAAATTTGGCTGCTTCTAAGCTTTGGCAGTTATGAATAAAGCTGCCTTAAATATCTGTGTGCAGATTTTTGTGTGGTCATACTTTTTCAGTTCTTTTGAGTAAATACCAAGGAGTGTAATTGCTGGTTTGTATGGTAAGAATATGTTAAGTTTTGTTGCCAAACTTGTCTTCTCAAGTGGCCATACCATTTTGCATTGCATACCAGCAGTATGTGAGAGTTCCTATTGCTCCACATCCTGGCCAGCATTTGATATTGTCAGTGATGGATGCCAGCATCCTGGTATCTTATTGATTTAATCTGCATTTCCCTCTGATGTGGAGCATCTTTTATTGTGCTTATTTGCCATCGGTGTATATTCCTTGCTGAGCTGTCTGTTAATGACTTTGGTCCATTTTTTAGTTGGTCATTTGTTTTCTCATTGTTGAGTTTTAAGAGTTCTTTGTATGTTTTTGATTATAGTTCTTTTTTATTTATTTATTTATTTTTTATTTTTTATTTTTTTTTGATTATAGTTCTTTATCATATGTGTCTTTTGCAGATATTTTTTCCCAGTTTGCAGTGTTTCTTCGTTTCTCTTGACATTGTCTTTTGCATAGCAGAAGTTTTTAATTTTGACGAAGTCCACTTTATGAATTCTTTTTAAAAAAAGATCTTATTTATTAAAAAAGATTTTATTTATTAATTTGAGAGGGAGAGAGAGAGAGGGAAAGAGAGCAAGAGAGAGTGAGTGAGCACGAGTTGGGGGGGATGGAGAAGCAGACCCCCCTGCTGAGCAGGGAGCCTAACATGGGGCTCAGTCCTAGGACCCCGTGATCACAACCTGACCTGAAGGCAGATGCTTCACTCACTGAACCACCCAGGTGCCCCTGAATTATTTCTTTAATGGATTGAATCTTTGGTGTTACATCTAAAAAGACCAAGGTCATCAATGTTTTCTCCTATGTTATGTTCTAGGAATTTTGTAGTTATGCTTTTTATAAGTCTATGATCCATTTTGAGTTAATTTTTCTGAAAAGAGTAAAGTCTGTGTCTATATTCATTTGTTTGTATGTGGATGTCCATTGTTCCAGCATTATTTGTTGAAGAGACAGTCTTTGCTCCATTGCATTGCTTCTGCACATTTGCCAAACATCATTCAACTATATTAGTAGGGGTCCATTTCTGGACCCATTGATCAGTTTGTCTATTCTTTTGCCAATACCACACTGCCTTGATTATTGTAGTTTTGCAATAAGTCTTGGAATTGGTAGCACCAATCTTCCAACTTTGTTCTCCTTTAGTATTGATGGTTATTTTGGGTCTTTTGCTTCTCCCTATAAACTTGAGAATCAATTTCTTGATTTTCATAAAATAACTTTCTGGGATTTTGATTAGGATTGCATTGATCAAGTTGGGAAGAATTGATGTCTTGACAATATTTAGTCTTTCTATCCATGAACATTGAACATCTCTTCATTTATTTAATCCTTCCTTGATTTCATTTTATCAGAGTTTTGTAGTTTCCTTATATAGATCTTGTACACATTTTTTAGATTTATACCTAAGTATTTCTTTTTTGGGGGGATTCTAATGTAAATGGTATTGTTTTTAATTTCAGATTCCACTTGTTAATGGTTGTTTTTTTTTTAAAGATTTTATTTATTTATTCATGAGAGAGAAAGAGAGAGAGAGAGGCAGAGACACAGAGGCAGGAGCAGGCTCCATGCAGGGAGCCTGATGCAGGACTCCATCCTGGGACTCTAGAATCATGCCCTGGGCTGAAGGCAAGTGCCAAACAGCTGAGCCACCCAGGGATCCCCTGGTTGGTATATTTTTAATTGAGAACATTCTTCTCATATGCTGAGGTACATGTTAAGATCAGAGCAAATTCTACTGATAGGAGGATATTCTATTTTTTAAAAAAAAAACTTTTTTTTAAAATTTTTAAAAATTTATTTATGATAGTCACACACACAGAGAGAGAGAGAGGCAGAGACACAGGCAGAGGGAGAAGCAGGCTCCATGTACCGGGAGCCCGACGTGGGATTCGATCCCGGGTCTCTAGGATCGCGCCCTAGGCCAAAGGCAGGCACTAAACCACTGCACCACCCAGGGATCCCAGGAGGATATTCTCAATTCCAGCTATTCCCCCATATTGAATTACTTAAATGTTTCAGTTCAAGAATATAACAGGGTTTGTCTTTTTGCCTGGATAGTACTATGACTCCCTTCAACAAATATTTTTACAACATAAAACTTGTCAAGTAAATTTTATTTATGGTTCTTTTGAATGTTTCACCAAGTTGAGTTGCTGCAGTATCATAGGGCTTCTTAACTTTACTTCAGTTCAGTATAGAATATGCCTATCCCACTAAAAATAAGAACTTAACAAGAAGTTTCTTCCCATAGGTTGAGATATTACCAAAGCATGATTACAATATTTCAAAGTTAAATCTTGTACAGATTAAACCCATCTCATGTCAATAGTTTACTGAACCAAAAAGATTCAGGACAAATGTTAAATCAGGATTCTGGGATAGCGGCATAACCTGTGATTGTCCTGGCCAGGACTCACTCTGTGTAAAAGGCCTTTCAGGGTCTGGTGCAGCCTCATCTCTACAGTCCTCTCCCTGCCAGCTCTTTGCTTCTGTGGAAACATGCTGAGCTCCACTCTTTGGCATTTGCTGCTGCTCTGCCTGGAAACTCTTCCCTTCCTTTCTCATCTGGCTAATTTTCTTTATCCTACAATCCTCGACTTCTAGCATCATTTTTTTCTAGGTAACTTCCCCTGATCCTGTGAGGTGGGCTCCACCTTATCTATCTATATTGCAGTCCTTTGTGTTTAGCTGTATCTGTTCAGTTGTTTCTCTTTCTTCACTTTTTCAAGACACTTTTTGTCCAATGTCCTGTTATTTAAGAGTCCTATTCTTTGCTTCCTATGGTGACAGTTATTGGATAAACCGATCTGTGCTAAGTGATAAGTGATTTTGATGAATTGCTTATCTGTTGCGGAAAACATATTTGTATTTCACTGAGGCCCATTGGGGCAGTGGTCTTCAGGTGGGTGTGTGCAGATTGGGGATTGTTTTAGGCCATTTATCAGGGTATAAATGTACTAGCTTTTATTTCTGTTATTTATTGAACAAAACCAAGAAATCAAGGTTTTCTAATACTTAATATTTTGGTTGAGAAAGTGTATTATATGACTCTATAATCTATAAACTTGACATTGGTGATGTGTTCTGATTGACTAAATGCTCCATTATAAAAATTGGAAGATCCTGCTGACATCTCCAGCAGATATCTCTTCCATGTTTTCTGGCTCTGGAATAATTCTATTTATCAAGCATTTCCTCTATGCCAGACACTGTTCTATACACTTTATAAATATCAACATACTTCTGCTTTACAACCACCTTATGAGATTGATACAATTATGAATATGCTCTTTTTATGGATTAAAAAATTGAGCCTGGATAATCAGGCAACTTTTTCAAGGATGGGGCTAGTACATGGTTGATTCAGTATAGAACTGGTGTAGTCTAATTCCGGAAGCCATTTGCTCAACCCCCTGCTCTGTACTGTGCTGTGCTCCAGTGTCTCTCTGTTCCCATAGGATAGACACATGTGGCTTCCAGGAGGATAGGGCCTATGTCTGTCTTGTTCATTGGGGTAAATATTTCTTAAATATTCACAAATATTTCTTTTTTAAAAAAGAGGTTTATTTATTTATTTATTTGAGAGAGAGAGAGAGAGAGAGAGAGAGAGAGAGAGAGAGAGAATACAGAGGGAGAAGGAGAAGCAGACTGCCCACTGAGTGGGGAGCCCAATGCAGGGCTCAATCCCAGGACCCTGAGATCATGACTTGAGCAGAAGGCAGACGCTTAACCGACTGAACCACCCAGGCACCGCTCACAAGTATTTCTTAAATGAAGAAACTGTGAGGGTCCATCACTACTCTGAATTCATATCACTTAAATGGGAACTTTGGATAAGTACTCTTTTATTTTTAACTTGAAACATTTTTTCCCTTGAAGTAATTAGATCTGATGAGAAATTGGCATGAGTTAAATTAGTAGTCCTATGTTTAGAAACTGTACATGAAAAGAAGTCTGCATCACTCTAATACCAGTGAGTCACTTATGAGTCCCAGCTCACCCCTGACGTGACTAATCCCTTCCTTTTCTTTCTTAATCATGAGGGTCTGAGAACATAAGAAATAAACCTCAGGTTCTTTCTCAACATCCATTGAAGTGTCTCCCAAATGTGTATAACCCTAAAGCAGCAACAAGAACAGCAGCAACAATGACAACAAAAATGATAAAGGAAAAGAGAAGCAGAACTTAAACTAATTTTTGAGGTGTGGGGTGGGGTTCACCTACTGATACCTTTTTAAGTGTGGGTCAGGTTTCCTTAATTCTTTGGCACAAGGATGTGTAGTAATCTCTCACGTGTTCTGGGCTTTGATAAAATTGTTTTGTTTTGACCAAATAAGTTTGTGATTCTATAAGCTTATGATTTCTTTATCTGAAAGAGTATTAGGAGAGTCTTCGGAGTTGTGTATTATATCATCATATTCAAATTATGACTCTATTTTTTTCCCCGTTTTGCTTTTAGGCTCTTTCAAGACACTTATTCTTCCATCAGTAAGTATCCATTTAAAAATTTTGGTTTCAGACGTATACATTGCATCGATTAGGGAAACAAACTAATATTTTGTTGGTCTTTATATCAATTTACATCCCTTGTGAGTTTGACTTGAGTTCAGTTCTACCTTTAGATTAAGAATAGTGTTACTTCAAAAAGATTTGGTTATTAGCCTTTTCAAACTCATGGCAAAGGTTTTCTCTTATAAAACAGGGAACTGGCCTGGACTGTTGCCACAGAAATCTGCTTCTGCCTTAAAGAGCCTTACAGTTTTGAGTGTGTAATTGACACTCTGTTGCTCAGTTTCTCTGTCCTGGAAAGTTGTAATACCACACTGAACCATATTGAAGGCCGAGGCATTGGTGATACTGATCCTGTCTTTGTTTAAACATTTTTTTTTGTTCATAATTTAATTTTTTGCATTATACTTGCTATTTTAAAAATCTTTTGAATATTAACAATTTATTTATCTTGATTACTGAATTTTTTTTTGTCTCCTCCTTAATTTTTGCACTTGAGGCCTCCCCCACCTCACCCTTATTCCAGCCCTGGAAAAGGGGATAAAGAAACTGCCTCTGTTTCATAGGGGATTCTCTGGAGGTGAAATAAGATGTGAAAAGTGCTGTAAAATTTGCTATAGAAGTGGAAAGGGGTTATTATTTTGTTGAGAAAGTCATAAAACCTAATGATTGCATGCTGTTTGTGAACTGATCCTACTTATCATAACTTTGATTTGAAAGTTTGTACTTTTATTACCATGTTTTGTTTTGGAGCTTCACACTCTGAATGTACAATAGAGAAAGTAGACCAGGGCATCCTAACAAGAGACGCAGTTTGGTATACTTTTGTGAGAAGAGATAACTGATGACTTTGTCAAAACACAAAATTCAGTCTAGTAAATTTGAAGATGTAATTAGCTTTATTAAGCAATTGGGCAGGATCCCATTTAGCAAGTAGAGGGGAGTTCCTGAGTTGTACAGTATGGAAGGTTTTTTTCAGAAGGAAGGTGGGGGCAAGGAAGTGACTAGCAAAAGAAAAGAAAAGATTGTTCCAGGCAAGGTCACCTTCCCTTAGGGGAAGGACATGGGGTTTTATCCTGCAGATTACCTCATCTTCCTTTAGGGGGATGGGGCTAGAGAAGACCCTTGTGACAGATTACCTCATTGGTGCTTGTCAGAAAGTTCCAGATTAATTGACCTAAAATTCTACTTACTCTTGGGAAGGTTGAAACTGCACTTAAGTCTCTGTTTGCTCTTCTGGGAGCAAACTAGTCCATCTTGGGCCTGTGGTTTCTTTTGAACAACTTTAGCCCTGACACTTTACATACTTAATGTAGGATCAGCATCACCTGATGGGCCAAGTTCCTCTATTTCCTCAATTACTTTTTGAAGGTTACTCATCAAGCACATTCAAAAACCACATTCGTTTTTCCGGGGCCAGGTGGTTCCTAGAGAATACAGTAGCTCCCAAACAGTACTCGTAAAAATTACTTATAAGTATAGCTATTGTTTTCTTACCTATTATGTTTGCATTTTCCTTACTAAGAAATATAACTGCTTTTCCATTGTTAAATAGAAAGTAGGGAAAAAGATGCAAAGCAGGTGGAAATGGTGGTGGTGGGGAACCCATCTCAGTGATAATAAAACATTGCATTGCGTTCCTGTACCCGAAAACGTTAGATGCTGGCCATATGCTGTTGAAATAATATTCCAATGAGAAGATTAAAATAACTCCTGCATAACACAATTGTCCTACAGCAGAAGGGGGTGGGATTTAAGTCCAGGAACCACAGTTTAAAGTACAACTGTCTGGTTTCATCAGAGAAGCCTGAAGGTGCATGGGCTGTAAGTGTAGAATGGCTGAGCAGAGGAAGCATTAGGTGGTACCAGGCACTAGGGCTTGTTCCAGTAATGTCAGTTTTATTATAAATTGTACTTGTCCAAACTATCATTAACTGGAACTTGGCTGCCCTGATTCTGTTAGGTCTCAGCTATGTGAAGTATGAACTCCAACATCCTGTATGTCTTTAATATTAATGCCATTTCTATTGTATGAATATATAGCAATTGTCTATTGAAAGCTTAACTAGAGATTATATTTAGGACTGTATCCCTTTCCTAGTAAAATTAAAATTTAAAGATTTAGTCATAAGGTGTCTGGGAAAATGTGATAATGCTTGGCAAAAATAGAAAGTTCTGTATTGTTATGAGTTTTCAGTTAAAACAGACCTAGCTTTCAGAGTGTGCACTTGCATTCTGATATTTGTAAATGTAATATTTTAAATTGTCTTTTAAGGTTCTCATGAATTTTTGCTGTAAAATAGAAACATTCTGACAGCATTAAAACAAATGTGTTTTTAAAATCTGATGAGCCCATTGTTTCTACTTTTGATATGCTACAGTTTTTAATGAGAAGTAAATAAAAAAATTGATGTTTAATATAAATATGATTTTTTGCACAAAATGTATTAGGAGAAATTTCTTCTATTCTCTTTGTAAATAAATCCAACTTAAAATGAAGGAGTGGTTTTTAAATTTAGAAATGTTTTAAAGTTTATGTATAATTAATAATTTTTTAAAAATATTTTTAATAGAAACTGTCATCTTAAATTCCTCAACTTTATTTTGAGTTATTTGAAATCTCCACTACTTTTAGTAACTAGCATTATTAATGGAGTAGGACAAATACTATTGTTTTATCTCAGTTTCTTTGACATATGATCTTTTAAAGAAGGCAAAATGGTTTTAGTCAACCCAGATTAGTTTCTTGCCCACCAAGGACCTTTTAAAAATATTTATCTTATTTTATTTTTAAGTAAACTCTATGCGCAATGTGAGGCTTGAACTCACAACCTAAGATCAAGAGTCCCATACTCCATTGACTGAACCAGCCAGATACACTGCCCCCCGGAGGACCTTTGTGAGTGTACCTTCCTTAGATACCCTGGGCAAAGAGCAATCATTTACTCAGAAAATTTGCATTTATGTATACACGGAGTACACTTAGCACAATGAGGATCTTGCATGCCCAAGTCAGATGCTGATTGATACTTTGCTCATAAAAGCCCCTTGATTTTGTATACTTCCAGACTATTGTCCTGCTGCCAGACATGTCCATCTGTGGAAATTGTATCTTCTTCAGCCCCTTGTTCTTGACCCAAATATAGGAATCCCAAATCTCTGTGGGTAAATAATTGGTTCTTGTATAAGAGATATGGAAATATCTGATGAGGGATTTATTACCAATTCTGTGAACTCTTTCAGTAATTGTGATCCCAAGAAGGCAGAAAGCAATTGATAAGCAGAGATTCAGGAGCTTTTACTTTCTGGCATCCTCTCCACTGTGGGGAACAGGTTACAATGCATTCTAGGTCTGTTATAGAGAGAAAGTTTCATAGAGATTGCTTAAAATCCATGCTATTTTTTTTTTTTTTTGGTTTCCTCATAATGCCCCTCTGTTGTTAACAATGGAAGGCTAAGATCTCTACCACAGCTCAGGATCTGTAGTGCCATGCAAAGTCTGTGGTGACACCCCAAGGCTTATAGTGATGTCCCATGATTTGTAGAGTCACCCCTGGTCTACTGATATACCAAGTTCATTTGTAATCTCTGACTTTCCAGCCTTGGGATTAATACTGAGGCTTTGAGGATCCCGAATTATCCAAATCTTACTTATGTGGGGAATGGGGCAAGGTTTCTAATGGGGCAGTTGAGAAAGCAAATTACTTGGGGTAGCTGAAAGGAGCAGAAAGATAGTACTATTTCCTTTTGAGGTAGTGCCAGCTCCCAGAAGGAGGATGGAGTAGGGCACAGAAAGAATTTTTTTTTTAAAGATTTTTATTTATTTATTCATGAGAGACACAGAGAGAGAAAGGCAGAGACATAGGCAGAGAGAGAAGCAGTCTCCATGTAGGGAGCCTGATATGGGACTAGATCCTGGGTCTCCGGGATCATGACCGGAACTGAAGGCAGACACTTAACTGCTGAGCCACCCAGGCATCCCAGAAAGAATGTTTTTGGACACATTTGTGTTACTTCTGCTTCTTTAACTCTTGGCATTCTTGTGATTAATGGGCCTCTTTAGTTTGGGGCCTATGCATCATTAATTTGACATAAATCTTCAATCTACTGTCTGTTCTGGAGCCTAAAAATGATCAAACTATATCCAAATCATGAAAAACAGTCCTATCAAATATCATATTTTAAACATGAAGTGTTTATGAATCTTTGCCATATGTAACAGTATGATATGCTGGCATATATATAGCTTCCTGCTTTTAGTATTAGAATACCCATTTAAAAGAATCTGAGAGCTGAAGTATCATTTGAGAAAATAGAATTTAAGAATGCAGGTTCCAAGATTAGACTCCCAGCCCTACTAGGGCACACATCTCTGGGTCATGTTGTATCCCAAGGACTTAGAACAACCTGGAGCCAGAAGGTGCTCAATAAATATTTATGGAAGAAAAGCAAAAGTCAGCATTGGAAGTTATTTGCATGTGATGCTACTGATTGTTTTTTCTAACTTTTTATTAAGAAATTCTCAAATATACAAAACACTTGAAGGAATTTCACAGTGAACACTTCTGTACTCATCACTCAGAATCTGTCATTAACATTTTACCATACTTGCTCTGTATCACTTGTCTGTTCATCTATCTGTCTCTCCATTCATTAATTCATCTTATTTAAAATGTATCCCCAAGTAATTGTGGACATCAGTATTTCTCTCCCTAAATATTTTTTGCTGATTACTGTATTGGTACCTTGTTTACATTTCCTTTGTGTTCTTATCCATGTTGCTCGCTTTAAGGTAGCTGTGATTACTGGAAGATCTCTGAGCTTTCTGTGGACAAAACTTGTTTGTAAATGTGAGTCAGGATTTAGTTTTAGTACCACAGGTTTATTAACACGAAAACTAACTGAAAGTCAGGTACGCTAGTCATATATTGTGTAACCGATTATCCCAAG